CTCAGGATTAAAATAATACCATCAAAACTCTTCCGCGTAACTTTGTAGATATAGGTAGGTATATTTAATTATAATATACATATGTCTAATTTTCGGCATCTGCCTCCAACATATATAAACGTAGAGAGACAAACCGAATTGGGTCAAGACAACTCAAAATAAACCGAAAATGCGACAAAGTTGAATGAAATGCGACACTGACCTGCTTCGAAGAGTGCACCTTAGTGTAAAGAGACTGTTTATTATTTAGTGATACAAACAAAAAGCTTTAAAAGGTTCAAAAGTAAAATCATCGAAGGGAGCTTTTTAATAAGAATTTGCAAAGGTTTTTTAAAACTCATAGAAATATGCAAGATGATGATAAATCAAAGAACGGATTTTATATTAACAAAAATGTCAATAGATAAAATAAACATTTCGTATTATTAATTTTATTATTCCACTGATGGGCTAAAGCTATTTTATCCCACTAGTGGATAAAATATCACTTTAAACGCTTCATATGACTGGATATACGTCCTATTATTGTATTATTTTTGATAAAAGTATTTTATATTGAATCAAATAATCGATTTTTATTTATTTAAAAAGGAATATTTTTATGGAGTTATAATTATTGGAAACTTCAGACTAAAAAAATATTATTGGAATTTTTAAAATAATATTTCAATATTTTAAGAACTAAATAGAATGAAAATCAAAAGAAAAAAAATGAAGAGTTCTATTTCTTCTTTTCAAATCCTTATTTATTTTATTACTTTCCACCTTATAAAGCAACACAAAGTACGACTAAAATTATTTTATATGGCCCGAAAAAGCCTTTCCAGGCTATTTGAGACCCATTAAGAATGTATTTTTGGGTTATTAGGGTCGTATATGAGGTTTTATTGGAATATATTAGTATTACGAAGGGGATCGTATTATAATAAGAACGTTCTACGTATTACCGATTTTATTTTATTTCTTATTCGTATATAAGGTTTACTTAGCTATTTGTATCTTGATATTCCACAGTTACGTATAGAATTAGTATTAAAGAACTGTCTCTATTGTCTCTATGATCTATTTTAAAAATCAAAGATGAGAAATTAAATTTACAAAATAGAAGAGCAATCGTCAGCATTAATTCTTTAACCCTCTCGGGACGGAGGTATCTCCGGATTTAATAAGAAAAAATGGGTGCTGACTGCCAACGGAATCTACATATATAAAAAAAATATTGAAGTATCAGTTTTTAGCTATATGTTGCGGAATAATCGAGATTCGACTCGAAAATCCATATTTTCAATTTCTCCTGTATCAACATCATCATTATGATCATCATTATCATCATCATCATCATCATCATTTTCAGCTTATTCATCCATTGCCAATTATGGTCTAGCTTCCCTCGCATATTTATATACTCTCTTTATAGTTGGGCCCATTGTCATCTACTGTTAGCTATGCGGGCCCAAGTTATCTCTGCTAATTTCTTAATGTCATGGGCCCATCTCAAGTTTGATCTTTCAAGGTTTGGTTAGGTCTCTTAATTCCTCGTGGGTACCATGCTGTAATTTTTGTGGTCCATCTGTTGTCAGGTGTCGTGTCCATCGCCACTTAATGACATCCATTACTTGGGTCTTTTGTTGTATCCACTCTATTCTTTTACGGTATTTCGTTCCATTGAGCGTTGTGTGACTTGCAGTTATCTTATAATGTCCTTTTAAAGTGTCCAGGTTCCCCATGCATAGGGTCATGACTAGTAGTACACATTTCTTAAATATTTTCTTCTTTAGATAAAGTGACATTCTAGATTTGAATATGATTGAGTTTCTTTCATGCTAACTTAATTCTTCTGTTGATTTCTGGTAGTAGAGATCCCGAGCTGCGTATAAGTTGTCGTATACAGGGTGGTCCGAATTGTATTCCGGAAACTTCGGCAGCATATTTTACTGATAAAAATAAGTAAAAAAGTTCATATAAATGTATGTCCTAAAATGCTTAGTTTCGGAGATACAGGGTGTAGAAATTTCATTTTTATTTCGATTTTTTCCAAATAATTTCTGAAGTAATGTCAATATTTGGATGAAAATTGGTGTCTGGGAGTTTTTTGATATGAGAAATTTGATTTTAACGTCAAAATGACTCCTATTTGTAGGGGGCGCCACCTACATGCGTTTTAACTGTTTTGAAGAGTAATAACTTTTTGTCCGTACCTGTATAAAACTACCGAGTGAAAAAATATACATTTCCGTGATTTTCTACGTAAAAAATATCTCTTGGCAAAAATCGCTACGAGCAACCGTTCTCAAGATATTTACAATGGAAATAGTCAATACATGTCATTATTGACTAAAAATAAACATGTTGAGTAAGATAGTTATTTGACTGAAATGAGAAATTTGGGAACTTTTTATTTTTTTAAACTAATCATAAATTTTTCTTCGAAAAAATCATGATAAAACAGTTTATGTTGAACTTTTGGCACAAAAACATTGCAAATTTATGATTTTAGTCTAATAACTAATATTAGTCAACATGTTTAATTTATGTCAATGATGACAGGTATTGATAATTTCGATTCCAAATATCTCGAGTACCATTGCTCGTAGCGATTTTTACCAAGAGACCTTTTTTACGTAAAAAACGTCGTAAATATATATCTTTTAACCAGCTAGTATTATACAGGTACGGACGAAAAGTTATTACTCTTCAAATCAGTTAAAAAATACATAGGTGGCGCCCTCTACAAGTAGGAGCCATATTGACATCGAAATCAAATTTCTCATGTCAAAAAACTCCCAGATACCAACTTTCATCCAAATATTGACGTTACTTCGGAAATTATTTGGAAAAAATAGAAATAAAAATGAAAATTCTACACCCTGTATCTCCGAAACTAAGCATTTTAGGACATACATTTATAAGAACATTTTTACTTATTTTTATCTGCAGAATATGTTGCCGAAGTTTCCGGAATGCAGTTCGGACCACCCTGTATATATTAATTCTTCTAGTACAGAGTTTCTTAAACTTTTTGCAGTCACCACTTTCGCAATTTGTACAATTCCGCGGACCCCTATCAGAAATAATAGAGGAAAATAAAAAATGCCCTATTTACATAAAAAGAAAACGTTTATTAGTAGATTTATTACACGTACACTAGTAAATTAGTGAGAAGGATGCTGACCGTTTGTCGTGTTTTTTCAAGATAGCCGTCGGACGAACTCCGTCCGACGGAGCATACGCTCCATGTGAAATTGTTCATATAAACTCATGGTACTTGCTCGAAGTTGCGGACGCTCCGTCGCGGACGCTCCGCTCCATCTGAAAACGCTGTTATTGGGACCAAAATCGAGAGCCATGTCTCGGGGGCAAAGGTACATAGTAGCAAATGGTATCAGAACGGACATAGCTCGCTTGACAAGAATAGTATAAGCTTGACTTAAAGAAGCCCAAAACTCGCCAAGATCTTTTTCATGAAATTCAACATTCTTATTGTTCTTCTTCTT